CCGAAATCCATGAACGTCATATCTGGGTCACCGTTCTGGGCTGGTTTCTGCGCCAGACAGGACTCGCACAGCAGCGTCTTTTTATAATAGCGTGGCAAACAATGCGCTTCCCACCTGCTCTTTGCATCTGCCGCGAACCCCACCCGCGAGCCCCTAGCTATCGAGGCGCCGCGTTAGGAGAAGGGGGGAGGAGCGAGGAAGGAGGAGGGGAGGAGGGACGAAGGGGAGGACGGGGAGGGGCGAAGAAAAGGAGGAGGAGAAGGAGGAGGAGGAGGACGGGAAGAGGAGGAGAAGGAGGAGGAGGAGCAGGAGGAAAACCAATTTTTGATTTTCGCTGCAGGCGCACAAATATACAAAGCCATGGCGGTGTCAGGCCCCGTAAAGCTCGAGCGAGTCAGAAGGAGGAGGAGGAGGAGGAGGAGGAGGAAGAGGACGACGACGACGAGCAGATGGAGGAGGAGGAGGAGGAGGAGGAGGAGAAGCACGAGTAGGAGTAGGAGGAGGTGGAGGAGGAGGAGGAAGGGGAGGAGGAGGAGGGGAGGGGGGGCAGGAGGGGGCCTGTGGTGGAGTTCCCCGTGCAGCACGACTCGCGTAAGGGGTGAGCCAAAATGCATTCGGGGCCGCCATTTACATTTTGCCCGGCGGAGTCGGCGAAAGCCTGTCAAACGAACGCTCCGCGCCAACCCTCGGCGAGGTCAGTGCCGCTCAGCTCGGCCCGGCGCCCTTCGAGCGGCTCGCCGCGCGCGCCCCGATCAGGCCACTTCCCCTCGAGGAGGGCGGTGGAGGACCAATGGGCGAGTTTGGCTACGGCAGATCGTTCGCCGCACAAGCGTGGCCGCGACCACTACCCCTCGCCCCTCCTCCTGTGCAGCGGGGGAGGCGCAGGGGGCAGCGCGCGCGGCCACGTTTGGGCGGCGAGCATTGGGCGGCCCTCATGTCAACGAGCGCGGCGTGCGGGATCGACACAATCGGGAACAAGCGGTCGAAGGCGCTGCCGACGTCGCACATGACGGAACCGTAGCTCCAGATGTGGTACTCCTGGTTGCGGAAGACTTCGGCGCCGTCGTAGTGCACGTACAACGGCGCTGTCTTGCCAACGTCGTTCCATGGCCGTCTGGCCGCCGGGTGGTCAGCGAGGTGGGGCGCGGTGGCGATGGCATTCTGCCACCAGCGGAGCACCCCGTCGGCACCGTTCTTGCCGAAGATGGAGATCTCCCGCTGGAGATATATGTTGCATAGCATGACCTTAAGCTATATGACCGTTCCCCCGACTCTGAGGAAGTCGTCGACGACGTCATCGACGACGACGATCACGACGGTTACGATGACGACGATTACGACGACGACGACGACGACGACGACGACGACGACGACGACGATCACGACGGTGAGACGACGACAGCGACGACGACAAAGACGACGGCGGCGGCGACAACGAGGACGAGGTCGAGGACGACGACGACGACGACGAAAATGCTGACGCTGCAGAGCCCTTCTCTGGGCCGTCTTGTGTGTCGGTTGGGCCTTCTTGGGGGGGGCCTCGTCGGTTTTCTTGGGGCTTTCTTGGGCCGCATTGCGGCTCTCTCGGGAGTCTCTTGGGCTTCTGATCTCGGGGGCCTCTCGCGCCGTCTTGGAGCGCTTGACGCCCGGACATCTCTTGGGACCCTATTGGGGATGATATCGGGGGCGTTTCTGGGTTTTTTCGGGGGCCTCTTGGGGCCTCGCCGGGTCTTCTGGGGCGCCTCTTTGGGCTTGCTGCATGGGGTCTCATGGGGCAGGCACCGCGGAGGTGGAGCGGGGGCAGGAGAAGAAAGAGAGGAGTGGGGAGGCCCGGCCGGCAGACGCACAACACGTTCACACAACACGTTATCCCTCCATCACCCTCTCTCTATACGCATCTCTCTCTCTCTCTCTCTCTCTCTCCATGTGCAGTTCCGTTCTTTTCCTCTCGTCTCTCAATTCCCCCTTTCGCTTATTATATCACTCTCTCTCTGTATCCTCTATCCTCTCTCTCTCGATCTCCCTGTTCTCCTCATTTTCTTCTCTCCCGTATACCTCCCTCTCTTTCTCTCTTTCTCCCTCTCTCTCTCTCTTTCTCTCTCTTTCTCTCTCTCCTTCACCGCGATCCAAACAACGCGCGGAACGGCATCCTGATCAGTGCCCGCAGCCCAGAGCGCGGCGAAGAGCTCGTGGGGGGCCAGAGCATCAACAAGGTGCTCTGTCGGTGCAGGGTCGTCCTGCAGGGTAGGCGCTGCCAAAGACGAGGAGGAGGAAGAGGCAGAGGAGGAGTAGGAGGAGTAGGAGGAGTAGGAGGAGGAGGAGGAGGAGGAGGAGGACGAGGAGGAGGACGAGGAGGGGGACGAGAGGGGGAAGAGGAGGAGAGGATGAGGATTAGGACAAGGAGGGCGAGGAGGAGGTCCCAGCCCGCCCGCTACATTCTTACGGTCAGCGCTCCTCGTACTGCAGCTTGACCTCAATGCGGTAAGGCTGCAGCCCGAAGTTGGGCGCGAACGCGCGCATGCTCCTGTGGAAGTCCCGCTCGGCGTGGGACGACTGCTTCTCGCCCGCCTTGGCCAGCTTGTTCACCAACTTGCCGCATGATTGGCCTCCGACAAGGCCTCGAACTGCGCGAGCGACGCGAGTGCAAGTGCTGATGTTCATACCGTGCCCGACCTCATCGATGATGAAGTCGCGGAAGCTGTCGCTATCAACAGGCCTCCGCGCAAAGGGCAGGCCGCGCAAAGTACGGGGAGGAAGAAGGGGGAGGAGGAGGAGGAGGAGGAGGAGGAGGAGGAGGAGGAGGAGGAGGGGGAGGAGGAGGAGGAGGAGGAGGAGGAGGAGGAGGGAGAGGAGGAGGAGGAGGAGGAGGAGAAGCAGCAGCAGCAGCAACAGCAGGAGGAGCAGGAGCAGGAGGAGCAGCAGGAGCAGGAGAAGCAGGAGGAGCAGAAGGAGAAGGAGAGGGGCTCCACAGGCAAGATGGCAATCTGCGTGCTGAGACCTCAGGAGCCCCCCACTCCACGGCTTGAAGGAGCCCCGGGCAATAGAGCCCCAACACAGCGAAGTGCACGATAAAAAGGGCCCAACGAATCACGAGCGACTTACAGGTATACCCACTCCACCTCCTGCTCGCTCTCTTTTTCCCTTTTCTCTTCCTCCTCCACCTCCTCCGGTTGCTTTTCCTCGTCCTCCCCTTCCTCCCCCTCCCCCATTCCTCCTGTCTATTCCTCCTCCTCCTCCTCCTCCACCTCCTCCTCCTCCTCCTGCTCCTGCTGCTCCTGCTGCTGCTGCTGCTGCTCCTCCTCCTCCTCCACCTCCTCCTACTCCTACTCCTGCTCCTTCTCCTCCTTCTCCTCCTCCTCCTCCTCTTCCTCCTCCTCCTCCTCCTCCTCCTCCTCCCCCTCTTTCTCCTCCTCCTCCTCCTCCTCCTCCTCCTCCTCCTCCTCCTCCGCTTTACCCTTGCCTTCTATCCTCCCCCTGTTCCTCCTTGCCCTGGCCCCCCTTTGCCGTTGCCCTCCTCCCCCTCCCCATTCGCCCCTCGGGCTGGCCCGCGCGCGAGGCAGGGCGCCTCCGCTCGGATGAAGATGGGGCCGCCCGCGAACCTCCGCCAGCGCGGCGCCGGCAGGGGCAGGAGTGCGAGGGGGCCAGCGAGGACAACAATAGGCGAATGGGATGCATACGAGAAGGGAACATTATCAGGATCAGTGGAAGGATGAATCACAAGGTGGGTGAGGACGCATGGGCAAGGGGGAGATATGCAATAGGGAGGGAGTGTGGCAGTGGAAAGGAGGAGGAGAAGAGGAGGAGGAGGAGGAGGAGGAGGAGGAGGACAACGACGAGCACGAGGATGAGGAGGAGGAGGAGGAGTAAGCAGAGGGAGCATGAGTGCCCATTCTCGGGGGCAGCCTCTCCTTCCCCTGACTGTCCCCTCTCCTCCCATCCCTTCCGGCCCGCCTCTGACAGCATAGAGAGAGCGATCAGCAGTGAGAGCGATTGTGATCGCACTCCTCCCCCTCCTCCTCTTCCTCATCGTCCTCCTCGTCCCTTTCCTCCTCCTCTTCTCCTCCTCCTGATCCTGCTCTCCCTCCTCCTCCTCCTCCTCTTCCTCCTCCTTCTCTGCTTCTCGCATTGCCACCATCAGCGCAGCAGCATGCCAAGTTAGCTCGTGCAACTTGGCCCCCGACTCGCTGCTCGCGCCGCGCACGTGCGAGACCCCAGGCCGCTGCAGCTAACTGGAGACTGTCCAGCCAGCCGCCCCTAGGCCTCCGACTTGGACTCCTTGCCCTTCTTGGGCTTCTGGCCGTACATTTTCACATAGGGCAGAAGGTTGTTAGCGAAGTCCAGCTTCTTGCTCGCAAGGAGTGTCCGGGCCTGATCGTAGTGTTTGGCTTTGTTCTTCATCGCGCCGACCTTCAGGGATTATGCTGCCAATGTTTTGAGGGCCCCAGGGGCTCGTTAAGCCGACCGAACTCAAGACAGGGGCTCCGCGGGACACTTGGCAGCACACAGCGTAGATTGCACCCGGCTTGCACCGCGTAGATTGCACAACATAGTTTGCACTGCCAACATATTGCACCGCGTAGTTTGCACCGCATATTGGCCCACCGTTTCGAACATGTTTGTACGGGCGTTGCTTGCTCAGCGTAACCTTCACCACATAGCTTGCACGAGCTAGCTTACATCACATAGCTTACACCTGCGCGATACCATGACGAAGCGGGCGCGTTATATTGCATTGCTCACGCGACATAGTTTACACAACATGGCAGATTCAGCTTTATTATGGTGAAATGCGGCGGAGGAGGAAGAGTAGGAGGAGGAGGAGGAGGAGGAGGAGGAGGAGGAGCATCTCGACGACAAGGGAAAGGAGGGCGATGGGAAGGAGGAGAAGGGGCAGCAGGACAAAGAAGGGGAAGGAGGAGACCGAGGAGGAGCAGGAGAAACAAAATCGAGGTGGGGGAAGAGGAGGAAGAGGATGAATGAAGGGTAACGGGAGGAGGAGGTCACACCACCTTCTGCTTGAGATCGGCGAGTATATTTTTCACGTCCTTCTCCAGGGCCACGAGGGCGTCCAAGGTGGGCCTCGCCAGCGACTTGCCCTCGCACCGCAACCTGTGCTTGTCCAGATCGGCCGCGAAGTTGATCGTCTCGTCGAGCAGGTCGTGGCCGACTTCAAGCGGCGTCCTCTTGGCGAGCTTCGCCAATTTCGCGGCCTCCCTCTCTGCCTTCTGCTTCTCCTTGTCCGTCGTGTCCGCGTTGATCGTGCCGCGAGGGATGAGGTCCATGGCATCGTCGATCCCCTGCTCTCCCATCCACGACTCGGTCTGCAGCACGCCAGCGTGGAGCAAGTCGGTGGCCTTGTCCGCGTCGATCGCCATCTCGGCCGAGACTCCAAAACTCTCAGTCAAGGAGCTCGTCGCGTCCACCGATCCACCTGAATCGGCCAAGTACTTCCTCAGGTCCTTGTTGTCCGGGTTGATCTTGTCTGGGCGCCACCATCCCTTCTTCTCGTTGACCTCCACCACCTTTTTGATCGTGGCCTCGTCATAATGGAGGTCCTCCTTCATCTGCCTCACTGTGTACAGCTTCAGGCTGTCCGTGCGGGACTTCCGCATCTCGGCGACCTTGTTCATCTTCACCAAGAACTTAGCTTCGTCGAAGTCACACTCCAAAAACTTCTGGAACAGCTCGAGCTTGGACTCTCCATTCCTGAGCGATTTCATTTTCGCGGGGTTCCTGTAGAGCCTGTCGAACCGCTTCCACTCGTTCTTGTGCGTGGTGGAGTTGCCACGCGCCCCCGCCTTGCGAAGGACAGGAGGGTGAGGGGGAGGAGGAGGGAAGAGTAGGACGAGGACGACGACTATGGCTGAGGAGGGAGAAGTAGGAGGTTGATTAGGAGTATTGGGGGTATAGGGAGAAGGAGGGAGGAGTAGGAGGAGGAGCAGGAGGAGTAGGAGGAGGAGAATGAGGAGGAGGAGGAGAAGGAGGAGGAGGAGGAGGAGAGGGAGGGGGAGGCAAAGGAGGAGGAAGGTATCCAGAGAGGAACGACGGGGGCCTTCGCAAGGTTCTTCGCCGCAAGGATCGTATCCTTGCCGTCGTTCTCGCCCGCCTTCTTGCCGTGGGCGTCGACGGTGCCGCCCTCCTCGCTCTCGGAGCCGCTGTCAGACATGCGTTCGCCCTCAGCCTTGCCATGGCCGTCTCCATCATCCTTTCCACTCGTGTTTTTCTCGCCCCTGCCAGTCGCGGAGCCTCCAGTGTGATGCACTTCAGCGTCTTCTTCATCGGACGAACTGATGTGGGATGCGCAACCTTCCGCCTCGGGGCCATCGCCATTCTTGAAGTCGACCTCCGTGGTGTTGATCTTCTCCGCCTCGAACTCCTCGTCAGACTCGGAATCGGAGCTCGCACTGTCCGCGGCCTTCTGCTGGTTGCCAAGGGCCGCCCCTGCCTCGTCCTGCAGGGCCTCCATGGCTGCTGCCCTGTCCTCGGGGGGCTCCTTCAGGGCCGTCGGCTTCATCTCCTCACCGCTCCTCGCTTCCTTCGTGGAGCTCGCCGTGCACTCCTGTGGCCTCGCCGTCTTCGCAGAGCTGTCCTCCTTCGGCAGTCGTTTACTCTGCTGTGGCGTTGCGGTCCCAGGGGGCTGGCTGGCGTCACCCCGACGGTGAGCCTTGCGTGTGCGAGGGTCCTGTGGTAAGCCCTCATCGCGTTGCTTCTTCAGCTTCCCCTCCTGCGCGGGCTCCTCCCCATCTCGGGGCCTCTCCTTGCGCACTCCCCCCTTCTCGAGCACCCGGTCCTCTGGCAGCGCCAGCTCCTCTGCATCTCGATCCGATCGAGGCCTCTCCTTGCTCGCCCCCCCCTTCTCGAGCACCCGGTCCTCTGGCGGCGCCGACTCCTTTGCAGCATCGACGCCTCGAGCCGATCCGACCTTCTCCTCGCGCGCCTCCTTGCGCGCCTTCAGCTTCGCAAGCGCCCGGCCCTCTGGCAGCGCCGACCCCTCTGCATCTTGAGCCGATCGGACCTCCTCCTTGCGCGCCTCCTTGCGCGCCTTCAGCTTCGCAGACTCATCTGCATCTCGAGCCGCCTCCTTGCGCGCTTCCTTGCGCGCCCTCAGCTTCGCCCCGTCCTCTAGCAGCGCCGACTCCTCTGCGTCTCGAGCCGATCGGACCTCCTCCTTGCGCGCCTCCTTGCGCGCCTTCAGCTTCACAGCGAGCGCCCGGTCCTCTGGCAGCGCCGATTCATCTGCATCTCGAGCCGCCTCCTTGCGCGCTTCCTTGCGCGCCTTCAGCTTCGCCCTGTCCTCTGGCGGCGCCGACTCCTCTGCATCTCGAGCCGATGGGGGCCTCTCCTTGCGCGCTTCCTTGCGCGCCTTCAGCTTCGCCCTGTCCTCTGGCGGCGCCGACTCCTCTGCATCTGGAGCCGATGGGGGCCTCTCCTTGCGCGCTTCCTTGCGCGCCGCCGACTCCTCTGCATCTCGAGCCGATCGGGGCCTCTGCTTGCGCGCAT